TGTGTGTGTGTGTGTGTGTGTGTGTGTGTGTGTGTGTGTGTGTGTGTGTTTAGTCCCCATCGTTGTTGGAGTAAATCGAGTCGAGTGTAATATGCAAATTTAATGTGATAAATTGAACCACGCCTCAACCACTTTTGATCAAATACAAACAAATCCGCCTGTCAATACACGCACATTTGCACAATAATAACTGCGACGGCAACATCAGCGACTAGTATCAGGCTGATTTGATAAGGATTATCGACATACACACATAACAAAGAACTATGTAAATTACACAGGAGAGTCGGGATAATAATTTTCAAATACACTTGAAATATCCGTGTATATATAAATTGTGTGCTCTTGCGAAAAGCGCGTGAATATCGACGCTCTTATACAAACACGTTGAGATGTAGAAAGAGCAAACCACTTGAATCGGCAAAAAATTGCAATCGCAATCGCTTTTTATGATAAGATTAAAATTCGCTCTCAAGAGAGATAGAGACTTTTGCTGTTAGGTGCTTGCAAGAAGGTATGTATGTTATAGAAAGAGCAACCGTTGAGAATCCAATTTATGGTTCGACACAAAATCAATATCGTCTTTTGGAATATTTAAAAAAATTCATTGAAACACATTTTGGCGTAATTTTCGCGAAGTTTGCACCCTTTTATTGCACCCATAATTCAAAAATCTTTTCTAGTTGACACCCGACCCATAATCGGCAACAAACTTTTGTTTCAACTATAGTTTAGTCAAAGCGCGATATAACCGATTCACCACCCATCGATAAATAGCAACTCAGAAAATTGTAATCCGAAAATTACAGACCACGACCGAAGCGGTGTCAATGCAGTGTTTTTTTCGTCTTTTAGTCGATGTCTAATCGAAACATGTGTAGCATTTTTGCGGGGAATTTTCCAAACTCATCGAAATCAATACACATTTTTTTTCGTGCTCGAAGCATAGAGGGTACAAGCATACAAGCGCGTATTTAATATGTAATCGCTTAATATACACCGTTCAATGGAAAATTATGATGTGTGTATTTTGTCGAGTATGTACATTGAAACCGTTCATCAAATGCGCGCTTATTTTTTTCAGCGTTTCCTTACAACTTTTTTCGGTCTTGCTCTTTCTTCTATTTCTCTTGCTCTCTCTCTCTCTCTCTCTCTCTCTCTCTCTCTCTCTTTATTTCTCGTTCGTATTTTTTCGTCTTTTTCGTCCTTTTGCTTTTTCGAGCGATTTTTTTCTTCGTCGGTTAGAATTTCATGTGTACGGTTTTTTTTTCTTGCTACCCCAGATGGGTGACAGTGCGTGATTCGGTTAAGAAAATTACATGTTACGTGGATGTGGTAAAGGAATAAAAAAAGTAAACGGTAAAACGTGCCCGTAAATAACGATAGAAAAGTATACACCACACATCGAAAATTAGAAACTTCAAGGGATTATAGAACGGGAAAAAAAAGTAGAACCACAACAATGACGCAAATTTTTCGTGTGTACATGATTTTCGCTTGACGGACTTTTTTTACCGTTTGCTGCACATATATCGTCTAATGACTACATTGCAAATTGTTATGTACGCTGAGACAAAGCGTCAAATTTAACACATGCACAACAGTTTGAATTTCGTTTTTTTTCCGTGCCGTTTTAAGACTAGGGGGTTTATTCCTTAATCTTTTATGGACGTTGATGGAAGAAAAAATATAAACGGGCGCTTGATTGATGGTGGCTGGAAAAAAGCAGTTGATAAAAAGTGACGATACGGTTAGTTTGGAGCGTGCGGACAGAGTGTGAGAATGTGACTAAATCAATTCAGAGCACGAATATCAAGCTGATTTAAACAGACAGCATTGGAGACGATGAAAATTTATTTGTCAAAAGTTAGAAGAAGCAAACGTTTTAACAGATTATCGAACATTTTCGACCAAAAATGTAGATAAAATTGTATTTGTCGTTGTTTAACTCAAAAATGTATGGATTTTCATGAAAATGATGAAGAAAAAAAGGCTTTTTGATGGATTTATTAGAGATTCTATCAAAATATGATGATTTTTCAAATAAATGTGGGAACTCTTCCGACAGGTTCGTTAAATGGTGGATTGTTTTTAATCAAATTATAAACACCAAAGAAATATCGTTTTTAACGTTGAAAAAAATGACGATAACCGACATTGGGATTGAATGTGGGTCTTTTGAAAGTTGACGGACTGAAATTAAATTGGAAAATATCAAATTCTCGACATGAAATGAATTCAACATATCATTGTCTGTATTTATTAGAAACCGTTCTAGGTGTATTTGATTGGGGTACGAGTTGATTGGTTTTATGCTCTAACTTGTTCTTTGATTTCAATTTGCGAGTTTTTGTTTCTTTTTGTTCATTCTATTTTCTCCAACTCGCTATCTCTCTCTCTCTCTCTCTCTCTCAATTTAAAAGTTCCAAGTCTATTACTCTATTTCAATTTTAATTTCTTCCCCTTTTCGTTTGTCTTAAATCGAATTCATTCCCTGTTACTCTTCAAAACAAACACCGATGTGTATAAAATAGATTCCTTATTGGTATGCCATTCCAAAAGACTTCAGGTCAATATCATCGTGTGTGACACCGTATTTGCGTTCCCGTAAAATCATCAAATTAAATGATATCATTGATTTTATCTGCATCGACATTGATTGATTGAAGATTACAAGTGATTCACCAAAAATTGACCAACAAAAAAATCCCTTAAAACTCAAATCTAAGCAACCATCGCTAAAATGTGCTGTGTAATGTTGTGTGTTCGATGCCCGTATCGTGTTTCCCGTTTAAAATGCGCATCAATTGAAAAATCAATCTCTTTTTTTTGAAACCATCTCACATGTTCTCCCCATGATTAGGGTAGTTTTTCTTCGCTGGTCACACATCAACATGCCAGCAGCATGTCGAGTGGATTAGTTTGTGATATCAAATCGAAGCAAACTAAATCCTTGTTTGATCAAACGTCGCGGTGCAACAAACAATTTTCGAAAATTCCATGATTACAATGTAAAATCGTCTTGGCATGTGTCGTTTGAAATGTACCGCGCTCGCCCGCATTGCAAATTCAATTAGCAGCTCTGTGTGGCACTTTTTTATCTCTACTCTATTCTCACTAGTTTGCTTATTTTCTTTCACTTTTTTTTGCGTTCGAACATAATACAGTCGTGTTAACTGAGTGCACATTCGTCACCTTTGGCAGCCCACATGAGCATTAAAATGTAGAACACATCATCGATTTGTCGCCAGACAACTACAAAATATTACTAAAGTGACAATAAATTGGCTGATGGAGCCGAGAGAGAGAGAGAGAGTGTGTGTGTGGTATTGCATTGTTTCATCGATTTTCCCGTCGGTTATTGCATAATTCAGTCGGCACGATTCAAACATATCACATATCCAAACTCTAACCGACCAAACAGGATTAGCGACGACAATACCGTGCAAGATTTTTACAAAATACCATTAGAACACATATTTTTAGTTATTCGATGCGAAAAGCGCATTACAGCTTGTAATACGGTGCGATGACAAGCGCATGATGCAATTTGGTGTGCATTCGGGGTTGTCTTTTGGCCCCCAATAACAATGAAAACATATATGATTCACTTGTAATGCCATCGGATTACAACGGTATTTCTGCTAATGATTTAAAATTGGCTTTGGCTAAATAGCGAGGTGAAGACGCGGTGTCGAAGATGGACGAACGGAAAGAAGATATACAAATTAGGCTATTACCAACAGTTGAAAGTCTTAGAGACGGTGAAAGAGACGGGGACGGTGAAAATTTGACTATTTGATGACGAAGAAGTCTTTTTGCAACGAAAATGAGAGAAAAATTCCGAAAAACGCTGTGTTGAAAATTCTCGCCTGGAGACGTTTAAATTCCAAATGGAGATTGGAGCATTTAATGTAACCAAAGCCATTTCGAAACGGAATCAATTCAAAATTAATCGACTCAATGTAGCTCATTCGTCATCAGTACTTCCCTTTACTTTTCCTTTAATTTGTTTCCAAAACGTTTTTTCGTCTGCTTCTTTTTATTCTTCTTGTTCTCCTTCTCTTTCTTCACTCAAATACTTTATACGTTTATTCATTTGATGTTATTAAACACTTTGGCTATTACTTTGTCGCTCCCAACTTTGGCAACTACGTCGTCGAATTTAAGCGTTTGAGCTACGTATTCAAGTGTTTAAATCGTTGGTGTAAAAGTGATGTTTGATTTTCTCTCTTCTTCGGGGTACGAAGTTTTACGCTTAATTATGAATAACAATTCGTCGGCGATTGATTGGCTTTGGGGTATCGACGCATGTGTGAGTGTAATTTAAAAATTCATATTTTTCCCAAAAGAAATCGCGCTTGAAGAAGTTCAAACTTGAAAGTCTGATTCTTTTCTGAATATGTACCGTCATTTGAATTCCTCGCTTCAAAAGAATTGTATTCGGTTTGATATTCGATTTTGATATTTGAATGAAAGACAAAGAAATGAGTGAAAATAATAATAATTCAGTTTGACAAAAGTCAATTGGAATCGTTTAAACGGAGAGAGAGAAGGAGAGAAAGAGTGCGCGCTCACGCACAAACACACAGGAAATTAATTCAATTCGTGTCTTTGTCGCACCCGTTTAACTGGCGGGCAATGCTAGCACAAAAACAAACAATTGCGATGTGGTATTTCTTTTTGCGGCAACCGAACAATTGAAAGCGATTTTTTTTTCGTTTTGTTTTCAAACTCGTCTCGCTGTGTTTGTTGTTGATATATTGGAATTGGATTGCCGGAGGCAATGTCGAACGGATATATTTCGATATTGTTACAATTGTTGCCTCTTCGATATTGAGAAATAACAAAAAAAAAAATCCGCCTTATTTATGACGATCAAACGAAAAATAACTTTTGCCACGCAAATTAACGATATATGCCATGGAATGCAAACAATAACATCGCAAATTGAACAGAAAAATTGAGCCACACAGAGCGAGAATCCGGATGCCGCTAATTAGAATTCTTCTGGTGAGATCTGGAGTGAGTCACCCTTTTTTCACGGCAAATTCTTCGACATTCCATCGGGTCGTTAATCGCATCTCGCACAAACGTTTTAACATTGACACCGCGCCACGGCATGGGGTGCATCACTTTTCCTACCCCGAAAAACCCTTTCGCCACACAATACACAATAAACGAATTGAAATTCGGAATTTTCAATTCTAGCACATTGAAATGCCGTTGGGCATTTCTCTTCAAACGCAACGATCCACCGATCTGAATTTGATGATGATGTTGTTGTTGTTATTTCCATTGTATATGAAAACGATTCAAATAAAATCGAGCACGAAAAATAACACAATATTTACAATCACCATGAACAATGCATTGGCGACGGCACATCAAAAAATATGTATATAGCTCAAATAACCGTTTTCAGTTTGTTGGTTGAAACGACCAAACAATGACAGAGTCAACTCAATCGTTTTGTCGGCCCCAAAACATTTTTTTGCAAAACAAACTTTTCACACAATCAATCCGACGGAACTATGCCCACGGTAAAGGCATATGCTGAATGAAATTAAGCATTTGTACGCACCAAATCTAACGAAATTTTCAATTCACACGCATTGTGAGCGAAATACCTTTTTGGCTTTAGTCAACAGAACGAGTTTCAATGATCAAAACTGCACACTCATTCGGTCTCTTGGTGTGATTTTGAATTGGAATCACCGTTTTTTATACATTCTCTTTTAGTACCGGTTGAGATGTCTAATGAAAATGGTAAATTTTGCAATAAATTGACGGTAAATACTTACTTTTTTTCGCGTTTGCCAGCGCCCGAATCACGAAAACCCTTTGCAAATGGATTGTTGTCGATTTTCAATTGAGTTATCTGAAATGGGGATAATGGAGTTTGTTTGTAAGCCTGCAATTTTTAATAGATATTTTTGAAGAGATTTTAATGAGTGGTCGATGAGATTTGCTGATTTTTATGGATTTTGGAGTTTTTAGTCAGTGAGATTTGGAGTTTAAGTGGTAAATCGGATGAAAAGTACCAGTTATGGTGGAAAATGCATGTGATTTTTGCATAAATTGGCTATTTTCACATAAATTGAAGAAAAAGTGTGACGAAATTGATAAATTTGATATTTTTAAGGAAAAAAGTTTGAAAAATGAGATTTAAAAAAAAATAGAGATTTTTGAATAAAAAAAAGATTTCTGAAGGAAAATTTCTGATTTTCGTGGAAAAAATGACATTTTCAACATTTGCAATTTTTAAACAAGAATGATGGGAATTCTCCTAAAATCGACCTTGGATGCACTCATGTCAATGGAAAATCAAATTGCATTTGCCTACTTCTCTCCTCACTACATCCAGCCATACTCTTGTCTTACCTTTTCATTTTGATATGCAGTGACTGCGATAAATTCGGTTTCCTTAAACACATACGTACGAAATGTGGAATAGGGTAATTTGAGGATGTCATTGGCTCGTACCAGATGGAATCGTGGTTGATATTTATGCATTGAGTTAAGTATCGTCTGCAAAAAAGGTAAAAAATCCTTTTAAAAAAATATTATTCATTGTAAATGGTTTGTCAAAACAAAATGCGAGGAAAGGAAGCTAATTATAAGAAAAATTCGGATAGCGCATTCGAAAATTAGTTACTTCGTTGGCTTTCGACAGCATAGAATGAGTTGTTTTTTACGTAAAATTGACGTCACGTTGCTTGTCTAATTGAATGATTAAAAGGTCATTTGTTATGCAGAAAATGCGATGTTAACTCGGAATGAGTCGATAAATGGTCAAAGTAAAAAAACGAAAATGTAATAATAAAGTGAATCATCGTGATGTGGATGTTTTTCTTCGAAAATTTGGTCTACGAGACCACCAAAGATGGCACATGAATTTCATAAACGTAGTGTAATTTTTTCTCGTTGATCATTTCGTGTGTGTCGTTTGATTCAGGTTTTTTGTTTTCGGGGTGATTATATTTTCGTTTGAGCTTAGCCTTTATTAATAAGATCAATATATTCGGTATTTTCGTGTATCAGGCGACGAATTCAAAATGGGATAAAAGAAGAAATTAAAAACAATTTTACATAATGAGTTGAGAGACACACACACACCGTTGTGTTAATGCCACCAAATTAAGAACGAACGAAAAGGCGAAAAAGATGATTCTCAATTTAAGACAGCTAGAGTAATTAAAAAGATTACAAGCTCTTCCACTTGAAACCTGTGGTGCTATAAAACAACACACACAAACGCTCGTTTTATTTGGAATACTCACTAGTCAGACACATATTGGAATAAATTTATGCATAAATGAAATCATAAAATCAACAAAAATAAACACGAAAGCGTAGTGCTGATGAGAAGAGACGGTGTTGGGAAAGCGTTTGTTTAACACAACATTATATGCGCTGGAGAGATGTTGTTGCTTTTGGCTGAAATCATCATCGTCGTCGCCGCACTCGATTTTCAAATGTAGGGATATCGAAACGGCAATAATCAATAGCATTTATTTGCTTTCTGCTTTGTCTTTGTTCACATTTAACGGACAGTGAATACAACAAACTTGACGACGCACCGGACCTTATTTCGATCACACGAAAACAAAATCCAATCTTATTAATGCACATAATAATTAATTATGAATGCTATTTTAAATGTTTCATTCATTGATTTTTTCTTCTTCGATATGGTCTTTCTCTTCTCTCTCTTCACTTTTCGTTCTTTCTCTCTTGGCGTTTTAATTCATTCAAAATCAGGTGAGTTGTGTCATCCATGTCAATAAAGTATCGGATTTGCATTTATTCATTCTCATTGATTTAAAGAGATAAATGTTGATTATAAAATGAAGCTGTTTGCATTTCAATCCATAATCGATTGTGTCAAGTTCAAAGGTTGGTCTAAAAAACACCAACTCCGTCGGCAAACATCAAACGTGCCATTTTTGGTCATTTATCACATGATTTTATGTGATTGAAATTGCGGAAGAGTCGCACTTTCCAAATCGATTTTATTCCCCAATGTTAATTCGTCGCGCCGATTTATCGATTCCAACGGCACCGATCGAAATGCATATTTTCGTGTGACCGTTCCACAGAGCTTGACAATAATTTTTCGAATAAAATTGTCTGCGAAAATGTTCATTCTCGCATATTGTCCGCGTAAATGTTCATTCTCGCAATTAATTATCTCATATTTTCGGGGTCTTTCTTCTTTTATTGCATTCATCACTCTTCACATTTCTAAGAACATATAAAAAACTGATTTTTTTTGCATATAAAAACACCGATGAGTGATCAAAAATCGTTTCGTTTAATTAAATTGATATCTATTTGTTTTATCGGCGACTTAAATTTTGCGAGTGAAAAAAAGATCACCTTGATATTTCTTTCGGTATAACTTTTTTTATCGTCATTTTGCCACCAAAACGATCTGTCGTTTTCTAGCCAATTTCCGAAAATGACAATGGTCCAACCACACTCGATTTAGTAAAAAAAACGCCGAAACAAGAACACATAAAAATGGAAATATCAACACCTTTTTTTTTCTTTCGCTCGATTTTAATTAGCGGTTTTTACCTCTCACTCAATCTCATTTCGAATGGTGCGCACAGCGCGCGTCTCGCACTCATCATCAGCGATGAGGTTTTTGTTTTAATGTGCAACCCAACGAGAGAGACGGATACGGCATTCAAATACGTTGTTGTTTTTATTTTGACTTCAAATAGTGAGAAATCTGGTCGATTCGGGCCGTGGGAATGAATTTATAATGAAAACAGACGCTGTTTTTTTGTATTTTATACTCAATTCTTTCTATTCTATTTCGATTATTTATACATATAGGTATTTACGAATCGTAATACAACAGCATCCAATTTTCGATTTATGAGCGAACGTCAAACACGATGGAAACAATCACACACTATTTTTATTTCTATTATATGGCTTTTGAATCGGTTTTAATTCGCCTTTTACTATTTTTGCTAAATGATTGCTGAACGCAAGACGGATTTTTTACAGTTTTGGGCACGGTGTTTTTTTTTCAGTGATTGTTTGGCGATTTTTTTGGCAATTTTTTATGGTTTTTGAACGGGCATTTTATCGATGATCAATTAAATCACAAAAGATTACAACAAATTAGATGACAAAAATAGAGCAGATTAATTGGGGAAGAAAGAGTTGAGCTGACCAAAAACTAATACAAACTTTCGAAGTCGTCAATTTTGATCGATTTCCGATCATTCAAGATTCAAAGCTAAAGATCAATCATTTAAGATTCAACATCAAAAATGGTCAATATTTGAATGAGATCTCAATCGATTTTGACCAAAAATTGGAGAAATTCGAACTTCTTTCGACTGTATGAAAGATGGCTTGTTTTGAGTGCATAGCCCTTATTAAGAGCGTCTTCTTAATAAGAGGAAGCTAAATTACAAGAAGACGACGAAAAAGAAGAAGGAGTCAAATATGAAGCAGAGACACTAGAAGAAAAAAGCACCAACCGCGACCGAAAACTTCTATCTCCATTCGAAAAATCGAAAAAAAACCGTTTGCCTCCGAAAATGTGTCCATAATTTATGATTTCCGGTTGGTCAAAGCTCATTATATGTGTTGTGTTTTTTTCCACTGATTGGTGTGGGTTGACAGTGTGCAGTGGCTGGTAATCAAGCGAACAAAACATGCAATAAATAAACGAATTGTTTTAAATCAAGCGAATGGGGGCTACCAACAGTTTGCCTATAAAATATGTCCATTTCAGTCATATAATATGCTGCTGCTCTGGTATCAGCATCGTTTGGTTAAAAGAGTCTGGCGATGATGAGAACAACGACCACCAAAACGGCGATTGCGATAAGAAAATGCTTGAAAATAAAACATCAAAAGCCTACGCAGCGCTCTGATAATAAAATGCGTTCTCTTTTCATTCAAAATTGGTAGGTGCAGCTGTAGTTTTTTTTATCAATGAATGTGACCTTTTCGAATGAAATCGATTGCCGTCGGTTGACATGATCGTTTTTTTTTTCGTTGTGTGATGATTGCTCTCGTCATATTCGATATTGTTTCTCTTAATTGAGTTTCATGAAAAGAAGCCGCGATCATGAGAACGATGATCAACACATAATTTTTTCTTTTGGTGTTTATGTTTTCGTCTCATGTAAAGTGGGAATTAAAAGAATCTCGTGTTGATTCTCGGAAATCGAATTGCGTTTGGTCGATAAACAAATGAGCACGGCATTTCGGCACTCTTTCGGCATTCAAGGAGTTATTTCGAGGGTTTATCTCAAGTGTTTGCATACAATTCTTGGTGGCTGCACATTAATGAACACGTATACAATGGCTTGTGAATGCCGTTGCCGCCGCTGTTGCTGCTGTTTCATCGGTGTGACATTATGTCTTTGTCACCTAATCTAAACAAATATTTATTTGTTTAATGAACAATCGATGTTTGGTAAAACGCAACGCGAAAGAATTTCGGTGTGACCGAACAACATGCGACTGCAAGAAAGAGTGGCAGAGAGAAATAAAAAAAAAAACAGAAGGCAAAAATCAATTCCATTGCGATAAACAATACAGGTACAGATTTTTGTCGCATAACACTCGGCAACGTTGTCGGCATCATTTCTTTGATCTTTTTCTGCAGTAGCGCTCAACTGTTTCGTTAATCTCTCTTACACACAAACAACACTATCTGGCCAATTCATTGATTTTCTCCCTCTCACTCATGCGCTTGCTTTTCAATTCTAAAATAATCAAACCATATTTTACTTTAATACCAAGATTACGCATGCACCCGAATGAAGCCGAATGGCAATGCACTTTTTTTTATATATATAGTTGCAAGCAGCAAATGTGCGTACTTAAAACAAGTCTGTTGTTGTTTTTTTTCCTGCTTCTTCCTTTGCTTATTGATAAATGGCGGTGGTGGGCAAAAGGCGCGCTCAACAAATTAATTTTTATTGATATTATTTCTATAAGAGCGGTGGAATTGCGATAGTGGCCGTTAATTGTCGCCCGGACAGTATCTATCTCTCTCTCTCTCTCTCTATCTCTCTTTCACTCTCGACCGGTGTCACTCTCACTCTTTCGCACTCTCTTGCGACGCGCACTAAGTGCGACCGATGGGTGAGAACAACATTTATAACATTGACGGCAAATCCTGACCGCCGCCACAAAAGCCACTTATTTACCTCTTTTTTTCGCCGACCACTTGCACACACTCTTATCAATTGAACGCGCGGTGCGAATTTGTTTTTAACTTTAGCTTTATCACAACGCACTTTTAAAACGATTAAACGTCATTGCGTTTTACTTTAATCTTAATGCAGCGAGAGACAGAAAGAATGAGGAACAAGCACGGACACAACAAATTTAGAGTGAATTCTGAAATCGACGACTTTTAATGAGCTCATTACCATTTGGCTGAGTGAATTATTATGATTACACTTGCATTTGGGTGACAAACACCGAAACAAAACAAAAAGCCACACACGAATCATAAGAGGCGACACTATAGAGTGTTATCAAGG